GCACAAAATAAAGCACATTAATAAATTGTTTCTTCTTACTAATAGCTGCTCTTGCTGACTATTTAATTTCAACTGCTTTGAGCTATACTAAGATTTTAAGAGTAGAACAAAGAGTTTAAGACTAGAACAGCATGAGCTGCTTGGATTTTACTGCTCTGTATAGACCCTGCTCTCCTTTAAAGCTCAGTCAAATAATTTTACTGGTTTTTAAATCATAATGGAACTCTCTATCACATTGCAGGAGGAAAGGAGGAGTTGTCATCTTCCACTGAATGGTCTCATGTATTCCCCAGGTACCCCCATGAAACTTTCACTTTCTTCTTACTCAAAATTTTAAAAGCTTTGATGGCCAAAAAAACAGTGATTCATAAGATAAGTAACTTTTTTTCAAAGGATGTATTTCCAACACAAAGTTAGTACCGGGTTAAGATTTTTACTAGTTCTGCCAGTTAACACAACAATAACCCTGTCATTAGTTCTGGTGATTCACAATCAGATTGATATCTACCAACAGCAGTTCTTAAACAAGGATCACTTGGTTTATGATGTCCAACAATACAAATAAATCTGTTTAGACAATAAAAACATGAGATAATAAAAACCCTTTGATGTCTAGGGATGATGTAGATAATTTTTTTTTTTCCAACACCATGTACTATCTCACTGAAACAACATATTGCTTCTAAACCTGGAGAGCAGGGAACAGTGCCATTCTGTGTTTCAAAAGGTGTAGGTGTGACATGTTGATTTGCAGACCTATAATTTGTGCATCAGTTCCCAAAAGCTTGCTTAAAAACCACTAAGTACAGTATTTCTTTAAGCTTGGAAATGAAATGGCTTCTCCAGGTGTTTCTAATCTCCTGAAATTAGATACTCCTAGTCTGGAATTAGAGAATACAAATAGATACTGAAATTAAGATACTCAAAATCTCCTGGAATGGTTTGAGCTTGCCAGTGGAGCATAAATACACAAATTCATAAATACACAAAGCAGTTCTATACCAAATTTGGACTTACAAAATCTATGCCACTAAAGAAACAAAACAAGTCACAGGGTAGGAAACCAAACACAATTTTGGGATTAAAAACTAGGTGCTTAGAAGACAGAAAGCAAGAATGGAATTAAAAAGTCACCTTCACAAACGTTTAAGAATTACGTACTTTGGGGAAACCTCTCATTAATGATGCTGATGAGAAAAAGGACCAGTAAGACAAGAAGATCTCCAGATGGTAAAAAGTATCATGGGCAGGAGAAACAGAAGTCCAAGGAACTCCAGCATGAGCCACATCAACTAGATCAGTTTTTCTATTTCATGGCTAGTGATGTGCAATGTAGGCAAATGGAAACAAATGAGTAGAGGTGAAAGGCAGGTAAACCACTATATGATATGCTTCCAAATTAACCATGTGCTCTCAGAACAGGAATCTGAACACTACATATGTACAGCTAAGGATGTGTGGAAAGATAGATAGGTAGATGGAAAGTGCTAACAACTAGAACTGCCCCATGAAACAAGAGTTTGGACTTCTCTGCACATTATTAGTCAGTCTCTTAAACAGAAAAGCATGGCAAAAATGGTTAAGAACATACAAAAAAGGACAGAAAAAAAACCAGGGCTTGCTCACCCTAAAAAGGTAAAGAATAAGAAGCTATAAAAGTAAAATACGTAGACAAAACATTAGTTCATTTCAGAGTCCTTACAATTATTTCAGCTGTAAAATCCAAATTCAATACACAGTGTGGACTGAACTCTTCTTTTTCAGGAATGGGGGAGGGAAAAACTTCACAGAAATACAACTCTACTATTAAGCAATAAAATACATTCATATATTCTTAGAATGAGGTAGGGAGAGTGGATGAAGGTTCACTGTTAAATTTTGCCATGCATGCCCAACTGTGGGAGAGAGACAGAACACAGGACTGGTAGAAATAAATAATGCAGTAATATAGGTACAGCATAGGAAGTGAGAACTCCTAAAGCAACGTTCCGGCCTTCATGAAGCACATCAAAATTTTGCTACTGGGTAGCAGATAAAGGAGAAATATTTGCTCCTTCTAGGTATCCACAGTTCCTAATGATAAACATGTTTAAAGATCTTGGGAGGAGAGCATCATTTCAAAACTGGATCCAAAACCTAGAAAGCAACTGACCAGGGAGCAGCTCAAAATAAGCATGGAGCTATCAAGAGTCAGCCAGCAGGAAAGTGCTGCAGAGGCATAAAAGACAACAAACAACTTTTGCAAGGCTGCAGAAAGGCAGTTCCAGCCAGCTGGGGTCTGCAATCCTAAAACTGCCACTAAAAGCTGGTACTTAGAAGACAGCTTGAAGAACTGAGTAGAGCTCAGTTTCGTATCTAAAAATACAGTTCTTAGAGAAGTGTGGTGGCTTGGCCTTGGCTGGCTGCCAGACAACCACAGAGCCACTCTCCCACTGCTCCTCCTCAGCAGTCCAGCCGGACAAAGTAAGGTGAGAACATGCTTGGGTAGAGGTAAGGAGAGGAAGATCACTTACC